AAATGACTGATAAAGTTTAAATATTTTTCCTAAGATGCTCTTCTATATGCATCTTCAAATCCAAATAGAAGATGTGAGTGAAAAGATGCTATACCTTTTCTTTACAGAATTATCTCAGTCCCACCTCTCACCGAAACAAAACATCTTGTTTCAAATTGTTTTTCACATTTACAATTTACTTATTTTATTGTAAAAATATAGACAACACAATGTTTGGCAATTCAATATTTTTGATGTGTACAACTCAGTGACACCAACTACATCAATCATGTTGTGCAATCATCAACAAAATCTGTTGCCGATTTTTCTATCATCATAAAAACAAACTCAGATATGAAATGTGCTTGTTTTCATCCTTTTAAAAATAATGGAGATAGTTAAGGCCATAAATTTTTCCTCTGTTGTAACTGATTACAAATCCTACAAGTTTTGTCTTTCAGTTTTCATCATTTACTATTTAGTTCGATTTTTGATTAGGTTTTTAATTGTGAGAAAAGAAAAAAAAACCTGCTAAATACAGTGACACCCATAATCCAATTTTAAATTTGATATTGTTAACATTTAAAAAATATTTTCTTCAATAAAAAATAAAAGTAATTGTCAAAAGTGTAAATTCACACTAACTCTCTAAGGAGAAAGGCAATAGAGTTTTATTGAGGAATAGAATAATTCGAATCAGGCAGCACAAAGTGAAACCACAAGGTGTTCCACTGTTAGAAAGAGATGGAGGTTTTCTACATGAGGACTTGGGTTTACACAATGTCACAAGTAAATCTTTCACAATGTCAGTTAATCTGCTTTCCACCACAGACTTCCTGGAGCCAACCTGCGAAAGCATTTTTCCGATAACATTCTGCATAAACATTTTCTTCCAAGAACAGAAAATTTTTCTCATGCTCCTCCTGGAACGTTCTTATCACAAACTTAAGCAAGCATAACCACATAGTTGTTCACCCATAGGAGAGGGGTCGTGCATGTATTCTGAAAGCAGAAGCAGAGATCTAGGGCAAAGTGGAATTTGATTTAGATCTGTCAGCCGCTTTAGTCACGTCAAATGCCTCAGTTTTAAAGTGTTTTAGCACATAATAAAATATTGCAAATAAAATTGAAGCTTCCTTTGGCCTATAATCCCAGGCCAATTTCCCTCACACTTTCTTTTCTTTTTTTCTTTTTTTATTGTGGTAAAAATACACACAACAAAACATATGCCAGTTCAACAATTTCTACATGTTTAATTCAGTGACATTGATTATGTTCTTCAAGTTGTGCAATTATTCTTGCTATCATTTTCCCAACTATTCCACCACAGTGGCCACTCAATGGCCCCTAAGTAAAAAACTCTCCCTTTTCCCCTCACTCCAACTCCTGGCAACCACTAAAACTTTTTGGTTTCTATATATTTTCTTATTTTACGTAAGTGAGATCATACAGTATTTGCCCTTTTGAGACTGACTCACTCTGCTCATCATGATGTTTTCAAGGTTCATCCATGTTGTGGCATACATCAGGACTTCATTTCTCTTTGTGACTAAGTAATATTCTATTGTATTTATGTACCACATTTTGTTTATCCATTCATCTGTTGATGCATATTTCAATTTTTTCCACATTTTGGCTATTGTGAAAAGTACTGCAATAATAATTGGTGTACAGTTTTCTGTTTCTGCTTTTACTTCTTCTAAGTATATTCCTAGGATTGAGATTGCTGCCTCATATGGTAGTTTGATGTTCAACTTTTTGGGGAATCAACAAACTGTATTCCATAGTGGCTACCATTTCACATTCCCACCAGCAATGAATAAGGGTTCTAGTTTTTCCACAACCTTGCCAACACCTATTGCTTCTTTTTTTTTTTTTTTTTT